TAATAATATATATATATATATATATATATATATATATATATATATATATATATATATATATACATATAAATCAATTAAACTAATTTTAATATAATTAATAAAATCTTAAAAAAAATGAAAATATAGAATCAATAATTATCATATAATGAAACAAATTATTTAAAATAATTATTTATAGGTTATATAGTTTATGCAATTTTATTACAAAACATATGATAAAAATCTTAATTTATGAAAAATAAAACTAGATTAATATTTTAAATAATTATTAATTTATATTATAAGATACAAATATTTTTAAATTATACTAATATAATCTTATAATTTAAAATAGTAAATTAATATATTATTATGTTTTTAATTGCTTTAATGATTTTTTTCTATTAAAATATAATCATATAAAGTTATTAATATTTAAATCATATTTATATTTTATTTATTTTAAAAATTATTATAATTTAGTATTTTTTTTATTAAATAAATTATTTATTTTTTACTTAAAAATAAATATACAATTTATTATAAATATATAATATAAAAAATTTATAATTAATATATTTAATAATATAAATATATATATATATATATATATATATATTATAATTATTAAATATATATATGTGAAATCTTTTTCAAAAATTTTCAAATATCCGCTTAAATATTTACCCGCTTTTTTCATTTTTTTTTAATTATTAGTATTTTAAAAAACAAATTAATATATCTAAAACATTATTCTAAAAAAAAGGCTTTTTAAATTTCGAATAAATAAATATTTTATAATAATAAAAAAACCTATAAAGAAACAAAAATGTCTAAAAATTTTGCTATATTATAAATAAAAAAATTACATAAATAAGCTATAATTCCATAAAAAGGAACTTCAGGAGCTGCCGGATATGATTTATGTGCTTGCTAAGAAACAACCATTCCAGCTAAAGGAAAATAATTAGTTAAAACAGGGCTTTCAATAGCAGTTCCTACAGGAAATTATGCAAGAATAGGTAATATATATAACTATATAAAAAGCGTATATATATATATATTTAAACTAAAAAAGCACCAAGATCAGGTCTAGCTTGGAAGAATTTTATTGATGTAGGAGCTGGTGTTATAGACGAAGATTATAGAGGAGAAGTAAATGTATTATTATTTAATCATTCTAATGATGATTTTAAGAGTATACATATATTAAATAAATAAGAAAAATAAATATTTATATAAATAAATATATATATATATATATATATATATATATATATATATATATATATATATTATATATATAGTAGCTTAAATGATTATTGAAAAAATAACTCCCACAATAATATAGGAAGTGGAAGAATTAGATGAAACTTTAAGAGGAGAAGGAGGATTTGGGTCTACTGGAGTTTCTTTGAATAAATAAATGGATGATTTAGATCATTGCACAGTTAATAAAGGAAAAATTAAAAGCTTTGAAAATACGGATATAAATGAAATTGTGTTTATTATTTAGAATTTCTGTAAAGAAAATAAAATTAGTGATTAACATTGCGAAAATATAATTAAACTAATCAAATAAAATTAAAAAGATGTAATATAAAATATTTAAAAAACATTAATGTAATTCTAAGAAGATGAAAATCCTATAAAATTAAAAGAACTTATAAATAGCTATTGAGTGTATCTGTATTTATATAAAGTTTTAAATAATAAATAATTATAGTTAAACATTTTATTTAAAAAAAAAAATATAGGTTTAAAATTTATATAAAATAAACATTTCTAGAAATATATATATAAACATATTTATAATATATATTAATATATATAATTTTATAATATTTATATTTTAGTATTAATAATAATTTTATTATAAAATTATTAGTTTTTTTATTTTATTATTTTTATTTGAATCTTATATATATTAAAAAAATAAATTAAAAAATTATTTTTAATAAGATTTGTAAAGATTTTATATTATTTATTATTTTTTTAATATTATATTTTTTATTTAAATAATATATTTCAACATAATATATATATAGATAAAATTAATTATATTTATTCTATTTTAATATTGGATATTATATATCGATTTTTTTTTTCTCTTAAAATATATAATAGGTAATTATATTAATTATTAATATAAAGAAATTATAAATATTAATATAAATTTTTTTATTTTTTTTTAATACAAACAAAATATAAAATTTAAAAAATAATAAAAATAAAATTAAAAACTCATACAATATAAGAATTTTTAATATCAACCGTATTTTCAGTTAAAGAATATAAATATTTAGCAACTTTATTATTTTTGCTAATCTTAACAATCATTTATCCTGCAATATCAATTTAATACCCACTTGTATTTTCAAACATTTCAATTTATGAATCTGCATAAGTTTCAATAATTCCAATTAATTTTTATAATTCTTAATCAAAAGTACATGTAGATAGTATAACTAAAGAGGGTTTTTTCGGATGAGTTTTTATCAAAAAAATTAAATTACTAATAAAATTATAAATATACCCTTTATTTAATACGATATCAAATAAACAAGTTAAATTATCAATAATTATAACTGGGTTTCCTTATTGTTTTTCAACTTAAATTTTTATATAAGTAAACATTTTTTAAAAAAAATTTTCTTCTTTTTACTCATTTAAACTTATTTTATATACATTTGAAGGAGGTTCTATCCAACTATTATGTGTTTCTTCTGTAAAAGGGAGATCTTAAGGTACCCAATCGTTTATATTTTAATATAAATTTATGTATGATAATTATTCCTTTATTATATATTAGTTTAGGTTATGACCTATCTTTTTTAAACAATTTAAATAATGGGCATATTACTAAGATATTGCTATTAATGTTATACCATCTTATTGTTTGAAATATGATGATATTAATTAGGATATTAAAAAATTTGCATTTGTAAATAATGTGTCTTTTATTAATATAAATGTACTTTGGGGCTTTTATTAATCTTCAAATGGAAAATCGTAGTTTAAATCTTTGAGTTTTTAGAAGAACATTTTTTTTTAGTACTATTTTTATCAAATTAGAATTTTTTTATATAAAATAATTATTTTTTATATATTATATTAAATTAAATATTTTATATATATATATATTTTTTCTTAATAAAAAAGAAAGATATATATTTATATATATATTTATTTATTTTTATTTTCTTAAAAAAATTTATAAATAAAAATGGATAAATACAAGCAAAGAATAAATGAGAAAATCTAAATAATACTTGATATAGGAATAGCTTATACAAAAATAGGCTTTTCTGGTGAAAATGCTCCTGTAAAAATTATTAAAACACCAAAAGAGATATTTTAAGAGTTAAAAACATTCCCTAATGAACCAAAAAGGTAAAAGGTTTAAATAAAAGAATGCTTTTTAGATGAAAAAAAAGAAAATATTTTATAAAGAAATTTGGATACATTTTTAAATTAAATTTTTTATAATGACTTAATGTGTAGATAATAAAATAAGACTATTTATGTCTGCTAAAATTTAAATATTCCGATTTAGTTTTATGATATTTTATGCACATTGCTTTTTAATAAATATGAGATTTAAAAAGTTTATTTCTTGATGAATAATAGTCTACCTTTGTATATTACTGGATAAATTACAGGATTAGTGGTCGATATAGGGTATTATGATTGTTAAATAATGCCTATATATGAAGGTTATCCAGTAATGAATGCATTTGTTAGTGTAAAATGTGGAGGATAAAGGGTAAATGAAATATTAAAAAATTTACTTTTGGAGGTTAATTCGGCTGATTCGGGAATAGAATTTGAATAGTTGGAGGATATTAAATTTAAATATTGTAAATTATTATTTAAGAGTTAGGAAGAATAGTATTTCAATGATAATAATAATAAAAATTTATGCAAAAATTAATTTATTAATGCTAATATTATGAAAAATAATAATTTTTAGAAAACAAAAATAAACTATAAAAGTTGCATAAAATGCTTAAGCAAAGGTTTATTTGGAAATTTAAAAAAAGAAGAACCTAATATTGCCTTTTCTATATTAAAATGCTTTTAAAAATTAAATTGTTTAATAGGTATTAAAGTAGCTTAGAATATAATTTTTGCAGGAGGAATTTCTTAAACGAAAAATTTTTTTTAAAGAATTCGATAGGAAATACTTTTTATGTTAAATAATTTTCAAGAATTTAATGATTTAAAATATTTGGAAAAGTATTTAGCTTTTTATATAAATATATATCCAGGAAACGTAGCAAATTGGATTGGGGCGTCAATTGTTAGCTAAGTAGGGGCTAATGATAAATTATGTTTAAATTTAGAATAATTTAGGAATAATCATAATGTAGTTTAGGATTTTTTTGAAAATTGGATGGGATAAGGAAAAAATTTAACTAAGGATTAAAATAATAATGAATACGATGAAATAATATGATATATATTTTATGTTTTATATAATTATAATTAATTATATATTAATATATTTATTTATATTATATATATATATATTAATAAATATACATATATTATATATACATTTATTTATATATCTTTATATAAATATATTAAAATATAATTAAAGGATAAATATTTCTTTTTTTATTTATGGAATAATATAAATAAAATTTTTAAGAAATCTAATCAGAAAATAATGATTAAAAGATTTCTAAAAGGCAACTCAAAAAATAGATAAGAAGTTTGAAATGGCTTGAATTAAAATAAAAGAAAAAAGAAGAAAAAAAATAACAAAAATAAAAGAAAAACAATTAAGAAAGGAATAAAAATAATCATAAACACATGAAAACGAAATAAAATAAATACAAAATTAATAAAATATCTAAAAATTGTATACAACTCCTTATAAAACAAATTAAATCATTAGAGAAGAATATATGCAAAATAAATAAAAGGTTAAAAAGTTATAATAGATATGTAATTTTTAAACTTATTAAATGAAAAGGAGTATAAAAGTTTAGTAACATAATTAATGTATATGTAAAGTGCAAATAAAAAAGCTAAATAGCCTTTAAGATTTATAATAACGTCTGTAAATGAAAATTTAAGTAAATCTCTAGAAATAGGAAATGCATATAATTGGGGAATCGAGATTTACTAAAAACATTATAATGAGTATTTTGAGAAAAATTAACTAGTTTATTTAACCGGAGATTCATAAGTAGATATTGAAGAATTAGATTTTAAGTAATACATATATTTTTTTATTTTAATATTTTTTAATTATTTTTAGTGTAGCTTATATTATTGGTGGATTAGTAGATCATAATAGACTTAAAAATATAACTTTTAATAATGCAAATCAAGAAAACATTAAAACTTAAAGATTTCCTATTTAAAAGTATGTAAAATTAGAATCATCAAGTATTTTGGCTTGTAATCATGGTATTTTATTTAAATATTTATTTTTTTATATATTATTTTTAGTATTTGATATTCTTTTATAAAAAAGTAATGGATTGGATTGGAAATAATGTTTCTTAAAAACTATTCCCGGTAGAAAAGTAATTGCAACTATTGAAAATGGAGTAGAAATATTAACTGAATAGTTTATTAAAAGATAGGAGTAAATTTAATTATAATTAAAATAATAAGAATAAAAAAAATTATTTAAAAATAAATAATAATATTAATAATAATAATAATAATAATAATAATAATAATAATCGATATAATGATAATATTAATTTTCTGTTTATAAAAAATTATTCTTTTGTTAATATTTGTAATTAATAAATATATTTTTTTAAAAATACTATTCAAATAAAATAAATATTAATTAAATTTTGTTTATTTTAAAATATAAATTATTTTAAAAATTATTAATAAAGGCTGATTTAAAATTGCTTATTTATATTATATTTGTTTAATCAATATTTGATAAAATTAAAAAAAATATTTATATAAAATATTAAATAATTATTTAAATTTTTTTATGAATAAAAAATACATTATATTGATTTATATAAAGATATATTTTTGTTTTGTTTATAAATATAAAATTTGGAATTGTATTTATTTTTTAAAAAAAATTGGTTTTTATTTGTTAAAATTATTACAATTTTCTTTATATGACATAAACAGATATTAATTTTACAAAAATAATTATATAAATATCTTTTATTAATTAAACAAAACAAAAAAACAAAAAACATAAAAAAAAAAACAAACATAATAATAAAAGCAAAAATATATAATATATAAATTATTTAAAAAACAAAATAAAATAAAAAAAACTATTTAATTAAATAAAATATAATAAACAGTACACACAAATAAAAAAATAAAAGAAAATTTAAAAATTAAAAATATATAAATAATTAATGTAATAAACTTTCTAAGCCTTGAGAACATTAAGTGAAGAAACCCATTAAGAAAATCACATACCGGAATCATCAATGATAGTATTTTTCCTATTCGGTGGCTTGGCAATATCTGGTTTAGTTCGTGAGATGAATAAGAAAACTGGGATTCCATATACCCCAATGCTATTTATAATAGGAATATTTATAGGGAAATTTTATTAAGAAATGGGACTATTAGGATAATCTATATATTCAATTAGAAATATAGACCCTCACGGTATCCTTATGATATTTTACCTATATTAATATTTGAAGGGGGATTTAATAGTGACTGGCATTCTTTCAAAAAATAATCGGGGTAAATATTTTTATTAGCATTTCCTTGTGTTCTTTTTTCTACTATATTTTTACTTTTTTCTATAAAAGTAGTTCTATAATATGACGATTCATACTATTCGTGGAGTGGAGCTTTTATGTTTGGATCAATACTATCTTGTACAGATACTGTGGCAGTTTTGGCTCTTTTAAAAGAAGTTGGAGCACCAAAAAAATTAAATTCTTTAATTGAAGGAGAGTCTTTACTAAATGATGGAACTTGTATGGTTCTTTTTGAAATTTCAAGCAAAATGGTTAAAGGATAAGTAATAATATATATTATTAAAAAATGATTTATTTTTAAATTTTATGCATTTATTTTATAAAACTCAACAATAAAAAGCCATGTCATAGTCAACTTTTTCAAGAATTTTATTTTCATCAAAATATTTTTTTAATAAATAAATAATGTTAAAAATTAATAAATATATAAATAAATATATATATGTATTTATAATTTTTAATTATATATTTATATATAATATATATAATAGCAAATGTTAATATTTGATATAATAAAGCTTTTTTTAACTTTAACTGTTGGAGGTGCTCTTTTGGGAATTTTTATTGGTTTAATAGCTAGTTTTTGGATTGGAAGAATACATAATGATGCAATATTGACTGTAAATGTTACTTTTATAGCTGCTTATTTGTGCTTTTTTATAGCTGAAAATGTTGATTTAGGAATATAGATATCTGGTATTATGGCTTTGGTATCTTTAGGGCTTTTTATGTCTATTTTTGGGAAGACTAAAATATCTATAGAAGAGGAAAAAACAGTTCATATTTTTTGGAAATATGTTGTTTATGCTGCTGAGTCTATTATTTTTTTGTTGGCTGGAATTATTGTCGGAATTAGGGTTTTGAATAATTTAAATAATGAAAGTTTTTCAAATGGTTAAGATTAATATACAATTATTTAATAGGATTATTTTAAACTTTTCGGGCTTTATATTTGTATGATATTGAGTAGATTCGGTTCTATTGCCCTTGTTATGAAATGGTTAAGGAAATGGGGTTATGGATTAAGTTGGAAGGATGTTTATGTACTTACCTATGGAGGTTTAAGGGGTGCTATAGGTATTTCTTTTGCTTTAATTGTCGCTAATGACTATACTGATGCGTATTCTTAGAAATTTAGAGATATTGTGCTTTTCGATATGGCAGGGAATGCTTTATTGACATTGATTATAAATTCTACGACAGCCGGAGTTTTAATAAAAAGCCTAGGTTTATGTGTTATTAGTAATGTAAGGTAGAAAACTTTTATGTATTTTCTTGAAGGGTTGAAGGAAGATACTATTAGAAAAATGAATTTATTGAAAAATAATCAATATTTGTAAATGGTAAACTGGAATGGCGTAAAAGACCTTATAGGAATACCTGAATATGAAAAAAAGATTTAATAAATAGAAGTTGATATATAAAAAAGGGAAAAAGAAGAAGATATAAACATAAAATTAGCACATAAAAATCCTATAGAGCTAGAATTAATAAAACAAAAAGAAATTTTAAAATTAGAAAATGAATCAGCTGATTCTTCGTAAAATTTAATAGATGAAGATATGGTTGTGGAATGTAGAAATAGATATTTAATAGCCTTAAAAGGTATTTATTGGATTTAATTTGAAAAATAATAATGCAGTTCAAATGCTCTTTTATTACTTATTGAAAGCGTCAATTGGGATATCGATACATAGAATCAAAGGATGAATTCTTGGGAATTTTTATCTAATTATATTAATAATCCGTTTTATATTTAGATTTTATTCTATTTAAAAACTTGGCCCATTATAGGAGAAATAGCCGGAAATATGCTTTTTAATCATATTTCTCATATTTATGATGTACTTTCGACTTATATTGAAGCTCATGAGAGTGCAGAAGAAGTCATTAAAGAATTTAGAATTTAAGAATAAGTATAAGCTTATATTGTGAGGGAAAGCTATGATAATAGACTCATGGCGGAAGAGTATATTTAGAATTATTTACATATAAGTTTTCCGGAAATATCGAAAATGATTTAGACGAAAAAAGCAGCGTTTTCTTTACTGGAAAGTCAAAGGAAATTACTTGAGGATTCTATAAGATTAGGGTAAATAGACGATAAATAATTCAAAACAGTAAAAAATCATATAGAGAAACATTAACTTAAATTAGACAATATTAAACCGTCGTGGAAATCACCGCCTGTAAAAGAGTTTTTGAAAAATATAAAATTCTTTGAATTTATACCAGATGTTATGCTTGATAAGATTATTTATGAAAGCATTGAAATAATTATCGAGAAAGATAATTATATAGTTAAAGAAGGAGAAAGAGCTAAATATTTATTTGTTATTACAAGAGGAAGAGCTACGGAAATTTGCACATAGACTTTTTATACTTATAATGAAAATAAATTAATTGGAAATGTACTATTTATACATTAGTTGGTTTTACCAGAATTAAGATATCTTACTTCTTGTATTGCAGATGCTATGGTTTATGTATTAGCTTTTCCTCTGTAGTCATTGTAAAATATTATTAAGATGAATTAATAAATGGAGGATTATGTTTGGTAGTAAAGCTTTATGACTATTACTTAACTTTATTATAATTAACTTAAACCCTTAAGTAATCTTAATAAGTAAATTATTAAAGATCTTATTCCTCAAATGAGATTTGCAAAATATAAGTAAATAATAAAAATATTTTTATTATTAAAATAATTATTATTATTATTATTATTATTATTATTATTATTATTATTATTTCATTTAATATCATTTTATATTTTTTAATTTTGTATATAGAAAAAATTAAACTATTGATTTCTAACATGGAGGTGTATTGTTAAAAGGAAACGTTTATAAAAAAGATATGCATAATACTAATTCTGGATTTTAAATAATTAAAGATTGTATCAAAACTAAAGAATAATAGGATAAATAACTTATATAAGTAATAAAAAATAAAATATCATATATTATATATTTAATTTTTTTTTATTTTAATATATAGTCATTTGCTGTATTTTTACCTCATACAGTATAATATTTATATACAGTAAAAAAATGCACATTTTTTCATTTCTAAGATGATAATGATTTTGTTAAAAAAATAATTAGTGGACATGATTAAGTTTCACTATAATAAAACTATATAAGTCCTTCGCATGCTAATGTCAGTGTTAGTAAAAGATCGTCTATTTTACATTCTTCTTATTAAACTAAGTTTGGAGTTTAGACAAGAAAATAAAGCATAAATGAAAAAAATCTAAGAGATAGTTGCCATTTTTAAATAAAAGATGAGGAAAATTAAGAAATATAAAAAGATGAAAATAAATAAGAAAATTTTTTTACAAATCATAATTAGATTGACTCTAATTATATTATTAAAGAATCAAAATAGGCTGAAGAAGATGAATAAAAATAATGAAAAAAAAAATTCATTAATTTAATTTATTTTATTTATTAATATATTATTTTAGAAAAAACATTTTTTTTTTTATGAAAATAGTAATATAAAATAAAAATATAAATATAAATAAAAAATAAAAGTTATTATATATATATATATATATATTTATATATATATATTTTATATATATAATATTAATTTATATTTGATTTTTTTTAATAGTGTTTGTTAAATATTATTACGTAAAATAAATAAATTTATAAATTTTTATTAAAAAATAGCATAAATATGTGTAATTGTTGTGGTTATATATAAAATATAAGAATTAATCAAGTTTAATTAATAAATATTGAAAAAATAATAAATTAGTTTAAGAAAATATTTTTGTAGATACATAAACTTAAATTGCCAATATACCATTTTAAAAATATTATATAATCTTAAATTTTGACAAATTAAATAATAACAATTCCTAAATATTAAGCTTTATATCTAATGAATTTTTATTATAAGAATAACAAAGTATTGAATTGGTATAAAATAAAATATATAAAATATAAACATAATTAAAAATAGTTAAAAGATATATAACCTAATGAGTATTATCATGAGGAAATTTAAATTAATTAAGAAATAATATATGCAATAAATGAATTAAGTACTTTAGAAATATAAGCAAGCGAAATAAAGGAAGAAATAGAATTAAAATAACAAAAAATTAGTTATAATAAAAATTTCTATAGATTAAATAGATATTAGTACAAAACCATATGAAAGCCAAAAATCAATTATTGAATAAGAAAATAAATAAACAAAAGAATTTGATAAAATATAAGAGTTAATATAAAATTTAATTAATTTAAAATAGAAAGAAATAAAAAGATTATCAAATATTATAAATGAAGATAAAAAAGAAAAAATTAAAAAATAATTAATAGAAGAGTAAAATATTAAAGAGTAAGAATAAATAATATTTTAAAAGAAAAAGTAATATGAATAAATATAAGAATAATAAAAAAAATAATTATTAAAAAATAGATAAGTATAATAATAACGATAAGAAAAATAATAAATATCCTAATAATAATAAAAATAATAAATAAATAAAAAAAATAATATAAATATTAATAATAATAAAAATATTAATATTAATATAATAATAATTATAATATATATATTAAAAAAAATATTAATAAATATAATTAATAAAATTATTTTAATATTAAAAAATATAATAATAATAATAATAATAATAATAATAATAATAATAATAATAATTTATAATATTTATATTAGTAATAATAAATAATAGAATAATAACATTTAACTTTTTCATAAAATTCTATAAATTCTTCATATTCTGTACAAATAAATAATATTAAATAATAAAATTAATCAGTAAATAATTAAAAATCTTAATTTAAATTAGTTTCTATACTTAAAAAAAATAATAATAATAAAAAATAAATATAAAATAAAATAAAAAAATAAGTTCGTTTTGATGAATAATATTTGAATCCTTAATAATATAATTAATCTAGAAATAAAATTTAATAATATTACTTCAAGCATATAAATCATTTTTTTTGAATTTAATTATACTTTTAATATGCTTTATATTGATGTTTTTATAAAAAAAAACTTTAAAATATTTATATAATCTTATTTATTTTTCCAAAAAATATAATAAAAAAGAATTAATAATATAATATATTATATTTTATATTAATTTAATTTTTTTAAATTGTAATTTTTTATAAATAAAACAAAAAAGTTTAATATTATTAACTTTCTTTATTTTTAATATTAATAATAATATTTATAATATAAAAATACATACAATTTTTATATATTACAAAAATAAAAATCTATATATTTTGAATTTATTATTTTACAAAAAATAAAAAATATAACGTAAAAATAAATTAAAATAATAATTAAAAAAAATTTTAAATAATTAAATTTTTCAAAAATATAATTAATAAAAATATAAATAAATACAATAATAAAGTTTTATTTATCTTGTTTTGATATAAAAAAATAAAAATTAAATAAAACTTCAAAAAAGTTACTTGTCTAAATTTTAAGGCATTTATAATCCTAAATTTCTAACAGGTTATCTAATATTATTAAAATTATAAATACTATTTATAGCTCCTTAACTATTATTAGCATTGATATTTTTATTATATAAATTATATATGTTTTTGTTTTATTATTAATATCCATTAATATTATTTAAGTTAGATTTATAAGAAAAATTATATATGTTATCTAAATCTTTATTAATATTATTAAATACGCCACCATTATATTAATTTATTTTCAATTTTTCTAAATTTTCATTTTAATAAAGATTCCTATTTTGTCTGTTTCTGTTTTCAATTGAAGATTAATAACCTCCAACTTAATATTCTTATAATTGTGAAGTATTTTAATTAGCGAAGCAAGATGTATTTTGATTTAAAAAAAAATTAATTTAATTATTATTATTATTTTCTTCCTTTGAATTAAAATTAAGCTATAAATTAAACTTATTTTTATTATAAGGTAATTATTCTCCCAAAAATTATTTATTTTTAAAACTTTCATCAATTTAATTATGTTTATTTAAATTAACTAAAAAATTGAAATCAGAATTTTTTTATTATAAAGATGTTGCTCTATTTTTTTTGTCACTTCGACTAATATTATTATTATTATTATTATTATTATTATTATTATTATTATTATTATTTATGCCAATATTATTGCTATTTATATTAATGTTATTAATTTTATGATCATCAGAATTAAAATTATTTAAATTTTTATTTTTTCCTTCTTCATATAAACTTCCTAATTCATTATAATTTAAGCCACTTTCTTTTTATTTCCCTCTTTCCTCAAATTTCATATATTCTTTATATTAATTTTTTATGTTTGTATTTTTTTAATTATTATTATTACTAACATTATTTTAAATATATTCATTACTTTCTTTTCTATATTATTTCTACTCAATATCTTAATTTGAATTAATGTCTATATTAACTCTTAATTTTTTGTTTAATTAATTATCCGATATACAATATTAATTCAAATTTTTTTATTTTTCAATTGTTATATCTTCACTTTTATCATATTTTTGTTAATCTTCAATGTTTTTATTTTAGTTTTTATTTTATTATTCGTCATTAAAATAGTCTTCTGGAAGTATATGCTCTATGTCGAAAAAATATGAATGTTATAATATTTTTTATGCAGTAGGTCTTTTTTAAGGATCCCATTTTAAACATTCTTAAATTAATTAAATAGCTTATTATGGACAATTATTTATTATAGTATTTAATGGAATAGAAGGATATTAAGGAAAATTAATACCTTTTTAAGCTGCTAATCTATGTCCTTTTTTTTTGTTTAAAAAAAAAAATAAAAAAATATTTTATATAAATAAAATATAAAACAAAACAAAAACCTTCAGGCCATTCTAATTTAGAAGGTGTCCCTAAAATAGAACTAATTTTGACAAGTTAATCTTATTCAGATTATCCATTAAATAAAGGCTTTAGCATAAATAGTTCAGCCATAATACATCCTAGAGCAAAAATATCAACTGGAGAATTATAATTAGTAGACCTAAGTAATAGTTCAGGAGCTCTATACCACCTTGTAGATACATAATCAGTATAAGGTGGTCTTGACCTAATTTCCCTAGCTAAGCCAAAATCAATTAATTTAACGTACTTTGTTTTATTATTATATAGTATATTTTCCGGTTTTAAATCGCGGTGGAAAAAACCATGTTTGTGTATATAGTATATTGATTATGTTAATTAATAAATAATAGATTTAATTTAATTTTGGGGTAGTTTTTATCCTGATTTACGCTATTCTTCGTATAGTTTAAATATATCGAGGTCTGCATGTTCGAATACAAATGATAATTGGTTATTTTGTCTTATTACTTCTTTTAGTTTTACAACATTTTTATGGATTAGCTTTCGTAAAGATTTTAGTTCTCGCAAATTCATACATTCTTCCCATGTCTGGTATTTTTATTTCATAGTCTTTATGGCAACTATTTCGCCTGTTTCTATGTTTTAGGCTTTTTGGACTTCACCAAATGAACCTTTGCCGATTATTTCTATTAATTTATATTTTTCCATTTTTTATTTTTTTTGGAATTATATTTGTATTATTTTGTAAAAGCCACTTTTTTAATTAATTTATGATTTTTTTTTAGGTTTTATTAGTTATTGTTTATTTAATTTTTTTTAATATATATTTTTGTTATATAATAAATATATATATTTTTGTTTTTTATTTTTAAAAAATCAATGTAAGTTTTTTTTTTTTTTAATACACAAATTATTTATAAATGTTAAATATTTATTTAATATAATTTAGCTTAAATACAATTTTGTTTATTAATTTAATAAATTTTAATTATAGTATAAATTTATCTAAGTAATATAATCTATTTTAATTGTAAAAATTCTTTATAATTTTATTTGCTTAAAAATTACAATATTCAACTAAAACATTTTCATGATTACTGAACAAAATCTTTTAAAATATATATTTTATATTCTAGAATAAAACATTAAATTAATAAAATAAACTAACATTATAACTATATAATATAAATTGAAAAAAAGAAACTTATAAACAAATATATTAATAACAAAAAAATATACATTAAAATATATTAATAAATACTAAAAAAAATATTGATAAATTTTTTTACACTGGAATGAATAAATAATTCAAATCTACTTATAAAAATCAAAAATAATAGAAATTCTAATAATCAAAAATCAATCATTAACTAGAAAATTTTATTCATCAATCATTTAACCTTAATAAACTAAATTTTAGATTTCATCCTCATTAAACCATTTTTCTCTTTTTCCATTAACCCATTCTCCAATTTTTTTTTCTCCATTACTTAAATAATAAATACCAATTCCATTTTAATTACCTTTATCCCAAAAACCTATATATTATCTTTCATCATTCCATTTAAAAATCCCTTTTCCTTATTTTTTATCATTAAAATAATATCCTTCGTAGCTTTTTCCATTTAAATATTCAAATTTTCCTTTTCCATGCATCAAATTCTTACTCCATTATCCTTTATATTATTTCCCATCAGACCATTTATAAGTACCTTCTCCATCAATTTAATTATTATTAAAATTTCCTTCATAAACCGATCCATCTACAAATTCAAGTCTTCCTAGCCCCTATTTCTTACCTTCAAAATATTCCCCTACAAAATAAGTTCCATCTATCCATTTTTCGGATCCTTTTCCATGCTTGTTTTTAAAAGTATTGAAAAAAATACCAAATAAATATTAAATAAATAACATAATAATTAAATAAATAAATATACCTACTTATCATTTACCCATTCTCCTTCAAAAATAGCACCGTTTTTACTTTTATATACACCTTTCCCTTCTGCTTTATCGTTTTTCCATTAGCCTTCATATATATCACCATCTGCATGTATAAGTTTACCTTTACCATGACTTTTATCTTATTTCCATTCGCCTTCATATCTAGAATTATCTGGCCATTCTTAAATTCCATATCCATCTCGCATTTTATTAAACCATTCTCCTGTATATTTTATACCATTATCAAATATTAGTGTATCTAATTTAACTATTTTATTATTAGATTTGTTGATTTATATTTCGCGTTCATGTATTTTCCTTTTTTCTTCATTTTTTATATTATTTTGCTTTTCTTCCTCATCTTCCTCAGATTCGGATATTTATTAATTTTCATCTATTAAAATTTAGGAATTAAATGTCTTTATTTTACGGATTTTTTTTCGACCATCTTAATTATTTTACTTTGTTTCGACTGTATTTACTGTTTTATTGTCGTCTTTGTAATTTTCCTTTATTGATGGACGCTTTTTTTCATGTTTTTCAATTTCAATTTCATCTTCTTGTGATTTTATTTCGTTTATAGCTCTTTGATTTTATTGGGAGTTATAACACTATTACATACTACATAAACCCATATTTTTATAAAAATTTTTAGTGTGATATTAAAATTTTATTATTTTTTTTTATATATATAAATAAAGCTGATTTTTATTTATTATTATTAATTAATTGTATATATATATATGCATATATTTTATTTATTTATTATCAATTAGTATTTTTTTTTTTAACATTCATATATATTTTATTTTTTATTTTAGTTATTTTATTTTTTTGTTATTAGTTAACTTTTTTTGTTTTTTCTATATATTATCAATCATTTATAAAATTTAATTTTTTTTTTTTAAATAAGAAATAAAGAAATACGTTTAATATAATTTATATTAAAATAATTTTAAGTATTATTAAAAAGAGAAAAAAAAAAAATAAAGTAATTTTTTAAATAAAAAAATATAATATAATTTGTGAAAATTAAAAATATATTTTATGTTTTATAATTTTTTTAATTTATACATAATTATTTTATTTTTTAAGAAAAAAAAAAAAACATTATATCAAAAAAATCAGATATTATATATATCAATAAAAATAAAGTTTATTTATCAAAAAAAATAAAATAATATTTATTTATTAAAAAAAAAAAAAAGCTTATTTATTAAATAAAAAAAGCTTATTTTTTAAATAAAAAAAGCTTATTATTAAAAAAATAAAAAAAATAAAAAAAAAAAGCTTATTTATTAAAAAATAATAAACAAAAAAATGCAAAATTAACAACAAATCATGATAACTTAACACTTTTAATTAAAGAAGATTTTATAACACCCAATTCTCCATCGTAATTGATTTGCTTTTAGTAAACTTTAGCTCCCATTCTATTATGTTTGACCATTTATTTAGTAAATTTCCTTCTAAGTTTAACTCTTGAATTGGAGTCTATTTTTTTTCTCTTTCTAGTTAAACCTTTATTGACTAGAATTTACATATTTATTTTCCTTTAATCATCTTCTCCGAGTACTTTTACATCATATTTTTATGCAATTTCTTATTCTTTTAATTATTAGGCTTATTTTTTTTATTTTAATTTAAATTTTTTAAGAGTCTTTATATTTTCTTTTGCTTATTTATAAAATTCATCTTCGAATGTTTCTTGGTGATTTTCATTTTGGGGATTTTTTTTAATTTTTTTAGTCTTTTATAATTAAATATCGTAATTTTTTTCCTATTTAATTTTTTTTTCTTCTTCTGAATCACTTATCATCCAATTTTCCATTTATGAATTATTTTATTATATATCATTATTATTATTATTAGTTAAGAAAATATTATTAACTTGTTTATTTATTCTTAAATCTTCTTCGTCTTTTGAGAAATTATCGGAATTTGAAAATTATTCAAGTTCTTATTTTATTTCTTCTCTAAGTTTTTATTTTTCGTTATTATTTTTTTCAGAAATTTGTTTTTTTTTTTCAGATTTTTTTTTTTTTTTTTCGGAAATATTTTTTTTGTTTTTTTTTTTTTCGGAAATTTTTTCTTACTTTTTTTCGGAAATTTTTTCTTGTTTTTTTGAAGTTTTTAAATGATTTTTTAAAATTTACATTGCTTATTATTAAAAGGAAGGCTAGAAATCTTCTAAGTTTTCAATATTAGTTTTATAAGAAGTAAGTTTTTACAAAACAGGATGATTTTTAGTTATTTTGTTATTTGATTTTAAAAGAAGATAATATAAAATACACAAAACATAACAAGAAAGTAATTCGAATTTAATTTCAAGGAAATTTTTACCTTTTCCAATCATTATTTTTTTAGCTTTTTCAATATCTAAAAGCGGAATAAGCTTTTATATTAATTCTTCTGTGTTTATATTTATTTCATTTGCCAAACTAATAATTTCACTTTCACTTTTTTTTATTATTTTCTCTTTTAATTTCTCATTCATTTCTTAATTAAATTCTTCTTCATTTTCTTCTTCTTCTTATATTAAATCTTCTTTATTTGCAAAATCGTCATCTATAAAATCCCTCTCGTCTAACATTTTCTAATTCTCGTTATATTATTCTTCCGCTTCGGCTTCTTCGCCGGAATCTTGGGAGTCTGTTATGTCTGATTCTTTATAATAATCATCCTTTTTTGTACCTTAGACTCCTCGGTATTATTTTAATTCGTCTTCTTGGGATTCTTATTCACTTTGATGAATAGAATCTACTAAGTCGGAATTACTTTCGTATTCTTGTGAATATTCTTATTAGAAGGAGGCTTCTTATTCTGAATTTTCTATTTTTTCGTCTTCTTCTAAGTATTTTTTGGTATTTTATTTTTTGTTGTTTTTGATTTATTTTTTGGCCATTTTCGTTTAGTTTTTAACTTTTATTTAAATTTAACCTTTTTAATTATTTAGTTTATTATTTTATTATATATAAGACTATAGTTTTTATATATATAATAATATTTATTATTTTATTATATATTTAAAAGATATTGAATCAATGAAAATGTATAATTTTATATATTACTATTATTATTATTATTTTTCATAATAAAATAAGCAAAATAAAATGTATTTCATTTTAAAATAAACCATATTAAAATTATTTTTTATTATTAAATTTATAATAATAAATAAAACAAAGCATAAATAATTTTGTAAATATTTATGTTTTTATATATAGCCTATAAATTGTATTAATATTATTTTTATAAATAACAAAAAATCCATCATCATAATATACATTCATATAATTTTTCGTCTCTTCTAAGTATTTTTGGTATTTTATTTTTGTTGTTTTGATTTATTTTTGGCCATTTTCGTTTAGTTTTTAACTTTTATTTAAATTTAACCTTTTTAATTATTTAGTTTATTATTTTATTATATATAAGACTATAGTTTTTATATATATAATAATATTTATTATTTTATTATATATTTAAAAGATATTGAATCAATGAAAATGTATAATTTTATATATTACTATTATTATTATTATTTTTCATAATAAAATAAGCAAAATAAAATGTATTTCATTTTAAAATAAACCATATTAAAATTATTTTTTTATTATTAAATTTATAATAATAAATAAAACAAAGCATAAATAATTTTGTAAATATTTATGTTTTTTATATATAGCCTATAAATTGTATTAATATATTTTTTTATAAATAACAAAAAAAATCCATCATCATAATATACATTCATATAATTAAAAACTAGCTACAAACATAGAAATATTTCAAATTAACAATAAAAAAATATAAACGAAAATAAAAGGAAAAAAATAAAAAATCTACAAATAAATAAAAACAGCAAAAAAAATAAAAATCTAATTAAAATGAATATATCAAAGTATAAAAAAAAAAAAAAAAACTTCTTTCGTATAAAAAATAATTTTTTAAAACCCAAAAAATAAAAAAATTAAAAAAAAGAGCAAAAGTAATATGTGAATACCTTCCTAAAAAAAACAACACACCAGAATTATCTATATCTTCCCGTTATATAACCCTCGATAAAATCGGCCAAGGTTCGTTCGGTGATATATATAAAATATTCGACATCCAAGATAAGAAATTACGTGTAGCGAAATGCGAAAAAAAAGAATCGGTATAAGGAATGTTAGAAAAAGAGGCATATATAATGTCAAAATTATAAACAGATACATCTCATTTTCCTTGTTTAATTGAATAAATAAAAACTAATAAAACAACAGTTATTATTATGAATTTTATGGGGCAAAATTTAGAATCTTTACGAAGAAAACACAATGGAAAATTTTCCTTAAAAACGACTATTTTAATCGCTATTTAAATGATAGAAGCCTTATAGCATATGCACAAGAAAAAATACATACATAGGGATATTAAGCCTGAAAATTTTGTAGTTGGGACTGATGGAAATCACCATTCAATATATATAATAGATTTTGGTTTATCAAAGGAATATTTAAATATAGAACATTAACATATTCCTTAGAATTGTAATAAAGGACTTATAGGAACTGCGCGTTACACATCAACAAACAGTCATAAAGGCATAGAATAGTCTAGAAGAGATGATATTGAGGCACTTTTATATGTACTTTTTTATTTGCTTTATGGAGAATTACCTTGGTAAAATTTAAATTGTGAATCAAAAGAATTAAAATTTGAGATGATTAAATTGTAAAAAATAAATTTTTAAATAGAATAGCATTACAATGATGCTCCAGAAAGTCTAAAAAAGATTTTTGAATATATAAAGAAATTATAGTTTGAAGAAGAACCAGATTATGAGTATATAAAGAAATTACTTTTTTAGATAAAAAGAAAATTATTGAGAAGGAAGATAATAAAAATGAGTGTTTTGATTGGTGTGATTCTTAGTGTGTGTTTTATAAAGAATTCTTAATTAAAAAAAATATAAGAATATAAAACAATGAAGCGATTTAAGCTGAAAATAAATTCATTGATTCTAGTTAGTTTTATGAAGATACATTAGAAAATAAAGATTAGTTAGAAGTTAAAATACCTTCTTTTATTAAAGAATGTAATAATTTATTTAATATTAATGGAAATTCTTCTTTTAATAATAATTAGATACAGTCAATAGAAAATAATGCTAATAAAAATTTATTGATAAATTAAAATATAATAAGCACTGTTTAAATAAAATAAAATAATTCTTCAATTGATACGGCTTTAATTTTTAATACTATTGAAACCAATCATTCGAAAAACTCATCTTAGTATAATCATAATTCGAATGAATATAATTTAAAACAAGATGAATAATAATAGAATTAAGTTTAAAAAATAGTTATTTGTTCGGCTTCTAGAATGAAAAATAATTATATTTTTTAAAATAAATGAATACGTTATTTTATTTTATTTACTTAAAAAAAAAAAAAAGTTTTTAGAATTAATATATATAAATAATTTTTTATTAGTTATTTTTGTTTTTATGTATTTTATTTTTTTAGAAATCGTTTTTAATGGTATGATATTTATGCTATTTTTATTTATAAATAAAATATTTATTTTTATTAAAATTAACATTATTATTAAGGAAAATATTTTATTTATATTTTATTTTAATTAATTTAATTTAATAATATTAATATATGTACGCACTCATTGTAATATTTTGATTGTTATTAATTTAAATTTGATTAAACTAAAAAACATTTCATTAAATAAAACATTTTGTTCTATTTTTAAAAATATAAATTAAATATAAAATTAATATAATATATTTTTAATAAAATGATATAATATATTTTAAAAAAGTTAATAAACACATATTATTTACTATAATTATTAAAAGAATTTCTTTTTTATAAAATGTTTTTTTTTTAATTATATTTTTATAATATTTTGTTAGAAACAATTTTTATATTTATAAAAAAAAAAAAATATTAAGAAATATATAAAGTATAATTGGATATTTTTGTTCTTTTTTTCTATATTTCTAAAAAATTTTAATTTTTTTTTTAAAAAAAAAATATTTAATAAAAAAAAAAAAAAAAATATACATTTTTTATTAATATACAAAAATTAAATAAAAAACAAAGCAAAAACAAACAAACAAAATGGAATAAGAAAATAAATAAGAGTAAGAACAAAAAGCCTAATAAGAAACAAAAATGAGATTAGTAAAAATAAAAACATTATCAAATACAGTATATGAATTAACAGTTCCATTAGACGTAAAAAAAAAAAATAAGACTAAAAAATAAATATATATAGATGAAAATAAAAGATCTAAAATAAAAAGTATAAGAATTAACATAAGTACCAGTAGAAAGATAAAGAATGATATGTTTAGGAAAATAACTATAAGATAATGATACAGTAGATTAACATTGTAAATGAAAATTAAAAAAAAAAAAAAATAAAGATTTTATTTATTTATTTATTAATAAAAAAAAGTAAAAGAAGATGGAGTTGTAATTCATTTAGTTGCAAAAGTTGAATAAACATAATAATAATAAAATACTAATACTAGCAGTTCTTAATAATAAAATTAAAATCCTTAATAGAATACTAGTTAAAGTAATCCTGTTGGTAATTCATTTGATATTTTCGGTAATTTATTCGGAGCAGCTGGTTAAGGAGGTGCTTCTTTTAGAACTTATAATTCTAGTTCTAATGGTGGAGAAATACAATCAATACTTTCCAGTATTCAAACCTTATTAGGAGGAGGAGGGGTAAGAACATAAACTTAATAAAACTAATAATAAAATGCATAATAAACATAATAGCCCACATAATAACATTAATAGACTGAATAATAATAAACTTAATAATAATAAAATTCATCTTAATAATCATAATAATAGTAATAATAACCTTCATAATAGTAATAATAACAATAATAAAATAATAATAATAATAATACAAATAATTAACAAAATAGAACAGGAAGAGTAATTGAATTACCGCATTAATAATTATAAAGACTAGGGCTTTTATGTAATAATTTAATG